TCCTCTTTCACGTTATTTCGTGATTTACTTCAGCCCTATGCCCTTTTGAAATCCATGACGTCATCCTCAGACTGGCTTGTACTAACCTTTTCATTAACAGTTGTAGGCTTTATAACTGGATCCAACTTGTTTTTCACATTTTCGCTCTGTGGCTAACATAACATTACACTGAATGTGCAGCTGACCCAGTGTGACCTGTGTGGGCTGGTTACGTCATGACGTAATTAGCCAAACTGCCTGTTTTTATTGTATTTAATTATTCAGATTTTAGTCTAATATGCTGCTGTAAAAGGCCAGTTGTACAAAAAGTATTAGACCTTGGACTTTTTATATATTATTCATATATTCGGTTTCTTTCATATGTAAATGAGGTGTCGGGTCCGTCAAAATAGGAAAGGTGGAGGAGCTAGATCTGGCTTGTTCCAGCACTAATTAACTTCTGCCTACCACCACAGAATGAAAGCTCTTTGGTCAGTTGTATCAGCTCTGTGTTTACAGGAGAAAAATGAAGCTTTCAAAGAAAAGATCACCATCCCTACTATGCAAGGCTCAGTTATGTTATGGGGTTGCCATGCTGCAAATGGCATAGGGTACTTTGAATCTGTGCAGGGTACAATGAAATCCAAAGATTATCAAGGCAATTGTGAGAGAAACATACTGCTCAGGGTCAGAGAGCTCTGTCTCAGTCACAGGTCATGGCTCCTCCAACAGAATAATTCCACATTGTAAAAAGAGCACAGAAGAATAAATGGGAGGAAACAACTTGATCTTTCTGAAGTGGCTGCTGTGATCTTAATATGGAAAGAGCGGAAACTTCCAGTTGGGGTAAGGCACCCATCAGACCTGAGAGAACTGAAGTAGTTTGCTCAAACTACCAGATAAGATGTGTAGAAGTCTCATTAAAAGCTACAAGAAAAGCTTGATTGTATGCTACAAAATATTAGATTAAGGATCCCAGTATTTTGTCCATGCCATTTCTATTTGTTGTAAAAGTTTTCTGTTAAAATGGAAGGGTGCCAGCACTTTAAGAAGATGCTTTATTTATTGTGACACATACAACAAAATTATGTTTGGAGCCAAGGGCCCCGGGCTGCTGCCATCACGGACAAGTGGCGGGGAGGGGGGGGGCTCAGTGTCTTGCCGAAGGACACTTTGGCATGTGGACTGCAGGCACAGAGATTTGAACCTTCAACCTTCTGGTTGGGAGGCGACAGTAGTGCGGTGGGTAGAGCAGTTGTCTCCTTGATGCACATCTGTAAAACCTACATGAGGATTTCACAGTACAAGTGTTAATACTGCTAATTCCACCTTCTCAAATGTGAAATCAGTATTGTTAACACAGCCTTATTTGACACTGTTTTAAAAGTAGTCCAATAAACAAGTTGGTCCCAGAATCTGATTTAACATTTTTTTAACATTTACTGCCTCACTTAGTCTACTAGTCACTTAGTATTTATTAATTTAACATAATTAAAGTTTCGTTCTATGGGATCTTCATCAGTTCCTGAAGCATTGTAAAGGAATAAATATTACAGCTAAAGTGAGACAATGTACAGGAGGTTTTTTTTGTTCTTTTGAATGGTTATCCATCAGCCCTGTGATAGACTGGCAACCTGTCCAAGGTTGCCAGTCGCTCAATGTCGGCTGGGATTGGCTCCAGCCCCCTGTGACCCTTGTCAGGATAGGAGGTATAGATAATGGATGGATGGATGGTTATCAATCCTATGCACCTTTCAAAAATTCTGTCTGATTTAAAAGGTCAACACTGAGGACTGAAACACAGCCAGACCCCAGATCTTATGAAGATCTGCAACCAAAATAATTATGATAATAAACACAATTTAGGTCAGTGGGGCCAAAGTGCTGAGTTTGCCATGTCCTGCTCATGTTATCTGAGGCACTACAGTCCATAGGCTGTAAATTTAAATACATTACAACATTACTCCATTACTGGTAGCAGCACTGGTTTAGAAGTTTTCAAATGACATGTTCAGAAACTGACAATGATTCAGCTGCAAATTATTGTGTGTAAAATAAAGCTAGACAGTCTGTTGTGCAGTAGATACAGTATCTACTGTATGTATCAAGCAGTGCCAAAACAATCACTCAACCGTGCTGTCATCTGTCTCCAGCTCATATCGGTCCATATTGAAGACAGTTACTGCCATATGTTAACATTAATAACTGTAATGAAGCCTTGATGAACCTTTACATTCC